AGTTGCCGTTCAGCCGGGCTCATTCAGGCTTGCCCTATATCGAGTTGCAGTCAGGCCATTAAAACAGGCCTTCACTTTGAGTTGCTGATTGCTATCCGGCCAGGTCTTGGAGGGAGTATTTGCATTAGTGAGAGCGTGCACTCCATCCAAGTTGGCCCGACGTCGTGAAACTACCCCTAAGTGGGGTAGATTGATTGAGAGGTTCTGCTACAGATATGTCGGACATCAGAGTTTCACTATCAGGGCTAATAAGTCCTCGACTTCGAGACACACGCTCGTGATCACCTACTCGGTGAAGGGGGCAGAAACGGGAGTGAAGGGCACCACATACGACAGGATTGTGGATTACATATTTCACAGGGAGAGCTATTGGAGGGACAACTGGCTACACGTGGTGCTTCCTCGCGTACCTTCAACACCTGGGGGTGTGCTCTTCGATTTTGACGGATGCAACCCCAAGCCCCTTAGTGAGCCCCGCAGCAAGGAGAAGAGGCGGAAGGACGGCCGGATCCAGAGAGAGCTAACCAGATCTGGAGTCCCAATCACTACATGTGCCCCGAAATCAGAGACAGATGAGTCGGATTTGGAGCCCTGCTCTGTGAGTGACCTTGATCTTAGCGATTATTTCGACTGGGACACTCACAGGGGTTGAGTTTGTGAATAGCGACAGGAGCGCTGGAGACCAGTGAGCGGAGACGTCGGAGAGCGACATTGAGGAGGATCGCACATCTTCTTGCACGGTATCTTCTTGAGGGTGATTGACTCCTACATGTCAGATGACCCTAGGTCTGAGACAGTTATTGGTCCCCCAAGAGGGGAGGGTCCGGTCCCATACCTCGGAGATGGCTATAGTCATTTGGTAGGGACAGATTTTGCTATGGAGGCTTATCGAAAGCCTCTTTACGGAGACCGTTTCCTCGAGGTATCCTACATCTACTCTGGTGGGAGAGGACGGATTGAGATATTGATTGGAGCTACAGGCAACATTATCCTTGCGGAGGAGCTTTATCTCAGGAGCGTTGCAGACGAGGAGATGGCGAGATGCATGGCTTATATCTGCAAGATTGATCCAGCAGCGCCCCTCGACATCAGCTACGTGGTTCCAAAGTCGATAGCCACGCAGGTTCTCAATGACGAGGTGCCAGACATGGAGGCCCAAACAGCAGCACCTACTCACGAGGGGGTACCACTTATTATCATTGATTGAGGTTCTCTCTTCAGTCACTATGATGTATTACGACATTATTATTTATTAGTGACTGCAACCCTCCGATGGATGCTCCCTGTATACTCTGTATACTACTCTTCAGTCTTGTATATCTGGTCATGCTCTTGCAGAGTCTGGTTTCTGGTCTTTTCATTTTGTCAATGTCAATTGCTTTATGATGTATGTATGCTATTTTCCTCCTTATGATACACAGGCTACACTCAAGGCAGCTTGAAGGACTCCTGGATGATAGGGACTCCGGTGACCTTGAGTCTAACCTTTATACGGGGTCAGGTGCAGGCGATAAAC